CCACAACCCTCTCCGGTTCGCGCTAGGTGCGATGCGGTACCGGTATCAGATATTCGCGACAGCCCCCGCTCGTGGGCACACACACACACGTTTTGTCCAAGTCGCGCGGTTGCATATCCAGGTAGGCACGCAATCAACTACAGGCGCTGTGCCTGACAGACAGACAGACAGACAGCAGGCAACGTGCGTATCGTGGTCGTTCCGTCGTTGCTGATCGAGTCCGAGTGGAGTGTACGTTGCATAAATCGTGCCATCAGCAGGTACAACTTAAATGCGAATGTGGTTGTTGCTTGCGTTGCTCTTTTGATCGACTGCAGGTGCAGCTAGCTAGCTAGCTGCCTTGCGCCGAGCGAGACGCGCAAGCAATTAAGCTACCGTATACCGCACTCAACACTCACACTGTGCCTCGCTTAAGTTTTGCTCCCAGCCGAGCGCATGCATGGGTCGTACGCGCCGAGTACGGTATGTACCGGTACAGAAAACAGGCCATTTGTGATCAGCCCAGTCACCGCGTCATGAGGCTGAGGCGGCGTGCATCATTCGGTCCACGCATGATATCCACATCTGGAATGCAGCTGCTCCGCTCACAGGGGTCTAGACCGTTGCGTCTTCGTCATGACCTGCCATGGATCATGGATGGCCCTTTGCGCAGCTGCTGCATGGGCGATGACGAGAATCGAGAATCAACGAGTGAATAGAAGGCACACCTCATCTGCGAATCATTGCACGTCATCGGCACGCTTTGGTGGATGGCGAATTGGAAGGCTGAAATGAGCCCATGTTGCCCACTTCAAAGACCAGGCGATCATGTCATCTCGGCAAGCTTGCCATCGCCGAGCCGTTGGATCAAATATTGTAAGTTTAAATTGCATTGGGGTATTAATTTGCAAAGGGTGCACAGCGGCGGTGCCAAGCCTCGCCGGTGCGCAGCACAACAACGGCTTTGTCCACCTGCTCATCATAAATCTCATCTCTCCACGGCCGAATGCCGTCTACATCGCGGCTCGAGGAAGGAGAGCTCACGCTGTCAAATCCCTTCGTCCACCTTGGCGTGCTAAGCCGTCTTGATCTGTCTACACGCGAGACCGCGCTGATGTCCAAGTCTCCCTCCATCGACCTCTGTCTTTGACGATCATCTTCATCTGAGAATCCTAATCTTGGCGTGGGCAGAGCAGAGAAGCTCTCGCTTGGGTCCGTCGTCATGCTAGACACAGACATAGAGCGAGAAATACTGGCAAAAGAGGGCAGCGTGTGCCCTGCGCCGGCAGGCTGACCGGTGAAGTATCCTCCTGGTTCGTCATCCCCTAGAGGTCTAGCGACGCCTTTGCCCTTGTCTGGCCTTGGTGACACAGCTGGCTGGAGTAAAGGACTAGCGGGCCGAGAGGGGATCGTATCCAGATTCGGCACGCTCGACTTCCTACGCATTCGCGTGACGGTAGGTGACGGCGACGTTTCCATGTCGCGACTAGCAGCGTCTGCAGCTCGGCCTCCGATCTTGCTCGCGTCTTCGTCTGCAAAGAGCGGACCACCACACCGATTGCAGGTCTGCGAGACGGCCTTAGGTCTCCAGCCTCGTCTACGCTGACGAGTCAAGCTGGACAGCACTGTAAAGACGTCGCGATCAAATAAGCGATTGGTGATGCCAAGCAGCTCTATTCTGAGCTGATAGGCGTCCAGCATACCCTCCAGCACTGTACGCACTTCGGCGTACATCCGCCCAGACGATTGATCGCCGTCTAAGGTCCCTTGCGACTCTAGCGCAAGCTTCCTGAAGAGATCCGGGAACGAGATGGCGTCCGCAGAGGTGGACGACACTAGAGAGGCCAGCGCATCGCGGACGAGTGCGCGGCAAAATTTCATAGCAGCGATTGGCTGCTGAGCGCTGTCTGGTCCTGCGGCGACCGCGGCGACCCCGTGCATCAGTCCCATCAACGACTGAAGGAGGTGAAGCCATGCATCCTTGAATGAGATTGCTGAAGAAGATGACTGGTGCACTGTCGAGTGCGTGTCGACTCGCTTGCAGAAGTCGACGACCTGATCGACGAGACGACGCAGCTTCTCTGCGCTGCTCGAAGCCTCGAGGCTCAAGGAAGCATCCGACTGACTGGCATCGTCGGCTCGAAGCACCATCGCTTCCAACGCCACAAAGCGATCAAGAGCCTGGAAAGCTTGCTTGCGCTCCCCCAATTCGCAAAGAGCCCAGAAGACGGCATCGTAGCACTCTTGCTCCTCGCCGATTTCGATGACTCGTCTCAAGTCGAAGTACTCCGCATTTTGAATGGAGAGGCTCCGAACGAGAGCGCCGGGTTCAAGGTCGGCTACAAGAGAGACGAAGAGATGCCTCGCGGATTGATCAAGGTGAGCTGAATCCAAAGAGGCGTCTGCATTAGACGCTGATTGTGCTGGCTCTGCTGCAAAGCCTGCGAAGCTCCGGAGATATTCCAATTGCGCCGTCTGGTCCGCATGCAATTTGGCCAGTACCTCTCCATGTCGTTCGCAGCAAAAGCGGTCCACGAGACTCGCCATCCCAGACGGACTATTGTGTGCCAGGCGGGGAGCCGCATCAAGCAGTAGCTGCTGCAGACTGGCGTCTAGACCTGCTTTGCCGCTGGATAGCGCTGCGCTGGACAGCACAGCGTTTAGCTGTCCAAACACCTCGTTTCCAGCACATGGGTCATGCAGCAACATGGTGACCAGCTTGTTCCATTTGCCTGCGCTTCGATAAGCTTTTTGTAGCACTCGCACAAAGCCTGCCTGCTCAAAGAGTGCCAATAGCGACTCGGTCTGTTCTATCTTGTATAGCGACAAAAGGCACTCGACCCCCAGCTGGCGATCTTCCCGAGTGTCACCGTCCATGCTTGTCGACAGGATAGTCAAGAGAAGCACGACTTGATCGGCCCGAAGTCGAATGAATTGAGGATACTTTGGGGCATTGCGCGCCACAAAAAGACAGCAAAAGGTGACCGCCGTTTCGGAAAGCTTGGTCACTTCGTCAGAGCGACGGCTGGCTTCGCCATACGGATCGAGGGTGTGACCTCCTTCCACTCGATTTGTGTCGATGATTTCCAGCAAGACAGAGATCAGCAATTGGCGAGTGACATTATCTCCAGAGTGAGCGAATGAGTTCTCTTCAGTCTCATCTCCATCAAGGAAAGAATCCTCGAAAGCAACGTCAAGCGCATCGAGGAAAGCCTCGGCGTCGAAATCCAAGAACAAGCGAAGGTAGGGATATGTGGGTTCGTGCCTTTCCTCTTGAGTGAAGACGAGTTGTCCTCCGGGTCCAGGTGGCCAAGCGACGCAACGTCCGGAAAACAGAAAGGAATAGAGCGTCCTCTTTGCCAAGACACTTCTCGACTCTGCGAGAGGCTCTTGACTGGGGTATGATCTCCCCGCGAGGATCACGGACAAATACGAAAAGATTTTGTACGCGTCGTCCTCATTTGCTGTGAGCATCTGCTCGGCTACGTCTTCGCTACTTTGCCGCTCCTTGTTTGCCGCCTTGAGCACGCCCATGAGCTCCACGATGGGAGCGACGTAGTCGTCCATGACCGAGTTGTAGACGTAAATCAAAGCATCCCAGAGACGTTGTTGCAGACAGAGCGATAATGCCTGATCGATATCGAGGCAAGCGGGGTCGACGTGCCATATGATCCTCTCTGCCAGGTCGTACTCTTCTCGCAACTGTCGGAAGGCGACCAAGCGCTGCACCACTGGGATTGGCAGAACACGTATGCGTCCCGTAACAATGAACAGCTCAAGTTGCTCTGCAAATATAGACTCTATGCCGTTGTCAGCGTAGGCGTCGTAGATCTCGCTAAAGAGGAGGTCTAGATCTTCGATGGCGACACAGGCTTCAGCGCAGGAAGCTGCGAGTTGTTGAAATTGCTCGGTCCTGTCCACCCCGCGACCGTCCGGCGTGACGTGTGTCGAGTCGGTCAGTCTCTCTGGCGAGAAGGCGTATTGCACAGAAGCACGCATGAGCTCTCTGAGTTTGCCGCCAACTACACTTTTGCGCGCATACACATCATCTGGCAGTCCCAAGGCATGCTGGCCCCTGGCACCAGTGTAGAAGGCAGTGGCAAGGTCGACAGCTCCAAGAAAGTCTCCTTTCGAAACAAAGCTCAAGAGGTGGTCTGCCCAAGACAAAGCTGTACCCGCGACGACTTCGTGCGTGGTGAGAATGAACAACTGGCCCTTGTAGGACCTCATGCTGTGCGCCGCTGAAGGTGCAAGTGACCGCGAGCCTCCGTCAGCAAGCTCTGCCTTCGAGCGCAGCTCAGGTGAACCTGCTACGCGCCATTCGCGCAAGACGAGAGGCGGTATGACCTCCGTCAAATGCTGTGATGCCACGCATTGTTTCCGTGCGAGCGAGAAGAGTTGCAGGTCACCCGACGATCCGAGCACGAACAAATGCTCGCGCGACAGCCACTGCAAGGCTATGATAGTCTCGTGGTGCGTGTATGTCGTCTCGTCCGCGAATTGGAGCTCTGTCTTGGACACAGTCGAGCCATTCGTGCTTGCTGCAGCTGTTGCATTGCCAGCTACCACATATACCGGGCGTAATGCGGTGACGAAGAGATGGTTCCCAAAGCTATGCGCAAGGAGGGGGTCCGAAGAAGAAGGTGCAATGGGGACCCCGTCCTGACTTTCGCCTGTCGCTGGATACCAAGTCACCATGCTAGCCAAAGCATTTCGGTCTGAGTTGAGCCAGGCTGGTTTTGAATTCGCCTCAGCTTCGTGATTCGGCGCAGCACCAGTGCCGGACAAATCGGCTCGGTACTGACGGCCATCGAAGGCCGGCGAGTTCAGAATGGAGCCTCCGTCCAAATGGCGTGCTTGCGAGTCCTTTGCAGAATTCAGCTCCCGCTCTCCAGCGCTTACACCTGGCGAGGGAGCTGTGCGTCGATACCAAGTCCTTGCAGTCGGTTTCAAAGAGACGACTACGAGCTTCGAGGATGTCACAAGGGCGACAAAGCTGAACTGATCTGCAAAGTGCGAAATCGGGCCAAGGGGAAGTGCTGACATTCCCAAGATAGTCGAGCGAGGGTTCACTGGGCCTTGGGAAGCGTCGGGCCCAAGAGACTTAGTCATTCGCGCTTCCGGATATCTGCCCAACATCCGAAGCGTGTCATTCGAGGACACGCCCAAAATTTTCCCAAGTGAGTGGTAGAAAGCAAGCCCATGCTCATCTGCACTGACAATGGCCGTGTGCCTTGTTCCCACAAAGGACAAGTGCAGTATGCGAGAATTAACCAGATGACCCTCCTTGCGTCCAGAGAAAACATCACCAGCTTGGACAGGCGATACATGACGCGCTAGCAAAGTCGGTCGCGCCAAGTCGTACAGCATGAGGTGACCAGAATCGTGACCGACCGCCACGTACGTATGATCTGATGAGATCGCTAGCGCTGTGACGGGGCCAGCAGAGCGTGCTGTATCCGGCAGAGGAGCGATCAGTATTCCCTGCGATTTTGCATGATTTGCGTTGCCGCGTTGTCGGTCAGGCTCACCTTGTTCGTGATCTAAGAACGTCTGACTCCCGCTTGGGTGCCCATGCACTACGACAGTCCCATCCGCGCGTCCGACAGCTATCAAGCCACCCCCCACAGCTAGTACTGAGCCCGCCTTCAGCGCAGCTCCGGTGCGATCTGGACCGTACCGCAACTGCCTAGCCGGCATCGCAGCGAGATGCGGCGAGAGTTTGCGAATGGCGGACCATCTGTAGGGTGGCAGATCAGCGTGGGGCCCAACAGCGCGGCACCGGCGGGGAGCAGATGACAAATCGCTTGCATCTGAGGGTCCCACTCCTGTCGAAGAATGAAGTGAACGCTGCAGTTCTGCCTCGCCATCGGCTTCAATGAGCGGTCCTATGGACTGGAGTGGGCCGAGAGAAGAGGGTCCGTACGGAAATGCCATTCGTCTACGTTTCCTCCCCGTTCTTGAAGATCCCTGAGATATGGATGAAGCGCTCGAGGAGGGAACGTGCATGCCGGAGTTCCTAGTCTCGTCATATGTGCCTGCCATGATTGAGGCAGGTATGCTGCCCGTGCTTGACAGGCGAAGACTGCCGGGTCGTGAAGGGCCAGCGTCGTCATTGTGGCGCGATCCAAGGCCCAGCCCTGCAGCTCTCAGTCTCGACAAGGTTGGGTATCCAGCTGGTCTCACCCTGCGAGTGGAGTGAGTCCAAGAGGTGTCGCCTTGAACAGAGTCCACCGTGATGTCGGGGAGCATGAAGCTTTCATCGGCCGTTGCTGCTTGTCTACTCGATCCTGGATAGGTGAAGGCTTCTTCTTCTGATTCACAGGCCACTTCCGAGCCTTCCTCGCCATTGCGCGTAGTGTCCAATTGGGCTAGCTCACCCGGCAAGGCCTCGTCGTCGCTCCCTAGAGCATCTTTCAAACGGTCAGCGTAGCTTTGAACAGGACGCACAGCTGCTTCATTCACATCCGCATCACTGTCCTCTTCTCCATCCGCATCTTCGCTACTCCCGAACAGCTGCTTGCGGCGATCGGTGCCGCTGTAGAAGAACTCCTCTTCGTCCTCGTCGCCTTCCGACTGCAATTGGCCATTCGCTTGACCATTGACGGCTATCCTTCCCTTGTCTGAGCGCGCATGCCCGTTGACAAGGCCACTTTGGCCCGCGAGTGACGACTCGGAAGCATCGTGAGCCTCGTCACCCTCGTCATCGTCCATGAAAGCCGCGAGGCGCTGCTCGTAGGACAGCTGCTCATCGCGTGGGGAACTGCTCCGCGACATTGCTCATCGAGGCCATCCGCAGATTGGCGCAGAGAATGTATGCAGCCCAGCGACAGCGAGAGTGGTGATCGCGGAGTAGGGGATCACCAAGTGATGAGGGGCAGCATCGTCGTGCGCATTAAACTTGGATGGTTGTCGGTTTTGCCTGGGAGCGACAGAGCCAGGAGAGTAATGTCGTTGGGCTTTGTGGCCTCGTTGCCATGAGTGCTTGTGGACGAAGAGGCTGGCAAGGAAGAGATGGTGCTGTCTATTTGCAGCAGAGACGTGCTCCACACGCACCGATCACTCTTCTTCCAATTAAGTGTCAATGCCCGCTATGTTCACTCAAACTCAGACCAGAACGGATAACTTGACAGATGAGCGAGCGAGCGGTTGAGCCAAGTAAGTTGCTGCAGGTGCTGCGTCTGCATGGCCGTGATTTCAGCGCTCGGGCGCGGCGCAATCGGCGGGCAGGCCACAGATCGTCACGACACGTGACTTTGCGTTGGACGCGCGTATTATCGTCCTGTCGTCTTTCCACGTGGTGCTCATTTGTTTTGCACCTCATGCTGCTACGCGCCGAATTCGCGATTGATGACCCTCAATTTATTGTTGATATCACTCGCGGATGACCCCATCCGCGTCTTTTCTGGCTGCCACAGCTAGCCCAAAGACATTCGTGATTGGCATCATGAATTGCCGTGAACATGAGCATGACACTCACAGCTTCTCTTGCCACGAGCGATCGACGAGCCTCCAGTCGTCGAGTCAAGAGCCACCATGCAGTCTGAGTGATCTTGACAGCCAGCATGCCTGAGGAGGAATCCCAAGACAATCGTGAATCACGAATGACGAATGTGAATGACGCAGCAGGCTCGCTCGCGTGTCGCGAAATTTGATCGGCTTCGCGCAAATTCACGATTTGTGGCTGTTCACGGGCGACCGATCGAGTGACAGCAGCTCGAGTCACTCCGAGTACAGCACCTACCGTGTACAGTGTGTGAGTAGTAGCTATAGCTGATGCTTATGGGCTGTGCTGTGCTGTGCTGTGCTATGCGCATCACGCATCTCTTCACTGTTGCGCACCTGATGCGTGAGAGCGCTGCTGCATGCCTATGCGAGTCGTCGTGACGCGCGAGAGCGCCGCCGCGCCTGCCATAAATCCCGCCGCGCCGCGCCGCGACTGTGCAAGAATTTGTGAGCGTCTAGCATGCAGCATGCAGCACACTGACTCAAATTGCACCAACAAAACGCAAGACCGGTCGCCGCGCGCGCGCACGAGCACGAAATTCGAACTCGCGATGAGCGCGCGCAAGTCGCAAGTCGCGCAGCGCAGCTGCAGATTCACACATTCACATTGTAATTTGTGCAAGAGGCAAAGGCGGGCGCGGTGGCAGTGGCAGTGGCAGTGGCAGTGGCAGTGGCACCAGCAGCCTTGTACCACGGTGATGGGAAGCTGTGGGCTGGCATCAGCATCAGCAGGCTATGTTCACCCTCCGCGGTCAAGTCACGGTTGCTGTGATCGAGTGAGCGTGCAGCTATAGCTGCCTGCTGGCGTGCGTGCGTGCGTTTTCGCTGCTGGTCACACTAACGCCTTTTGAGAATTCTCATCCTATCGATCAACTTCCAACATTGCAAAGCATCGCTCATCCCAACAGCGCCAGCAAGTGCACCTTTTCTCATCCTACTGCTCTGCGGACCTTTACAAATCATTGCCCAGCATGGCTGCTCAAATCCAACTCATCCAGCAAAAGGCTGAGTACTTTGTCTCCCAGGTGCGCGTCCTTCCAGGCTTATCTCTGCTGCCGCGACACGCCGCGAAAGTCGGGCGGAGGTCACGGCAGGCCAAGCGCGATGAGCGCCAAGTTTGCCCATACTAACACATCTTCGTCCTTCCCACTCTCTGCTTTCAAACGTCCTGCCGTTAGGTCGACAAAGAGGTGCGTACATTGCTCAGTGTGGAGGTCTCGATGCTCACGGGAGAGCGTTCGGGGTGCGGATTGCGCACGCGAGGGTGCGAGATTCTCGGCATAGGAGAGAGCGCAAATTATACGATGCTAGAGCTGCGATCATGGCATGCTCTGCATTGTGAAGCTCGACACTCTCTACCCGTCAAATCTTCCTAGGCTGTCTGCTGACGCAGCTTTGTGTCCCCTGCGTTCTTGTTGGTCCCTGTCTGCAGCTCTCCAAGTATCCTCAGCTCGTCAGGCTCGAGCAAACCGTGCCCGTCCCCAAGGCTTACGCTGCCATCGGTGGTTTCGCCCTGTTCACTCTGGTGCGTAAGCGGACGGTGCTTTCGGGTCGCCGTCCCCAACAGGCTCACATCCTTGCACCCTGTCATTTGTCCTGTCCACAGTTTGTGTTCTTCAACATGTGAGCTGCGCTTTGCGCGACAAGGAAAGTTTGGTCCTCATTTGGAAGGTCTGACGCCTCTTTCGCCATGCAAACAGCTTCGCCGGCTTCTTGACCAACTTGGTCGGCTTCGTCCTTCCCGCCTACTTCTCTATGAAGGCTTTGGAGTCGCCTCAGCCTCAGGATGATGTTCAGTGGTGCGTGACGGCATGACATGCGAAATTGGGGGCGTGTATGTTTGTGCATCTTCGTCTGATGCTGCGTTTCTCCCTTGGCAGGCTCACTTACTGGGTCGTCTTCGGCTTCTTCAACTTCATCGAGTCTTTCGTTGACTTGATGTGAGTATCCTCTGGTGCGCAAGAGGCAAATATCGGGTTGCAGAGCTGACAAAAATGTCCAACGAACACGTGTCTTTCGTATGCGTTGCAGTCTCTACGTAAGTCTAGTCCGCGTACCGCACAGTTCGCCTCACCGTGCACAGCTGACCAAACCTGACGCACTTCGCATTGCAACTCGCAATTTCGCATCATAGTGGTGAGTCTGCGTAGTGTTGGCCTCTGTGGCTGAATGCTCTGTGCGGGCAGGCCCTGACATGAAGGATTGTTCCAACATCCTTAGGTTCCCCTTCTACTACACCTTCAAGACCTTTGCTATTGTCTGGCTCATGCTGCCCCAGACACAGGTGCGTAGTTCGAGTTGCACTCTTGATGGCCCACTCTTGGAGACGGATCCCGAGAGGCTGAGCTTGTGCATCGCTAGACCACCGATGACATTTGAGATATGCTAGAGGGCACGTCCGGCGTGAAGCTGCTGACATCCATCATTTCGTTTACACTGCTTACACAGGGAGCCAAGTTGATCTACCACCGCGCCTTGCGTCCCCTGCTCGCGCAGACTGGCTCACGCTCCGCCGCTGCACCAGCAGCGCCCACTGCTGCTGACGTCAACTAGATTTGACGCACGCGGCTGCGGATGTAGAGCGAGCCGCGATGCATCGCCCTGCGTTCGCACATTCAGGGGCGGTTTTAGAGTGACGGAGCGCAAGGTTTACCAGCTGGCAGGTATTGTTCGGCATTGCTGTGCGCATCAACCACCTTCCAGCGAAGCCAGCGAAGCCTTAGAAAGGAAACGGATCACGCATGTGGTTTGCACCCAGCCGACTTTTCTGGGGGTCAAGGCTCGCGTGGGTGGCTGCACGTTGCTCCACTGCGTCACCTGCTGCGCTCCTCGTTCTACCCGCTTCCTTCTGAACCCTACGCCACGTCATCTCTCGCGACCTCGACCTGAACAACACCAAATCCCCCTTCCGACTCAACTCCTTTTTCCGTCGAGAGAAGTCGCTGCGCTTTCTACGTGTTGGGCATTCCAGCGTACATGCGCTCCTGGTTTCTCTTTTGGCCATTCTCATTCACGTCTCGTCCCCTCAACCCCGCCTGCTCTTCCCCAGACCCTCTTCTTCTTTAAAGCTCCTCTTCACATCCCCACCATTTCCATTTCTGAAATGCAAAATGAACGCGACGATTGAAATCACACGCTTGGGGGGAGGCGAGAGCAGAGATGTGCCCGTGCGCATCATGTGCATGACGCGTACCGATATAGTGTGCAACAATGACGAGCCGATCGACGTGTGTCAAAGAAGCTTTGTCTAGAATGTCACGTCTTTATGGATTGCTTCTCTTGATACACGCGAGGCAGTCTTGCAATAATGAAAAAGGGGAGGGATGTTGATACGAGAGGTGCAAATGCAAGCAATGGGGAACGTCCCGTGGTGTCGGAGAGTGCACAATGATCAACAAAGGGCCCAATCTTGAAATGAGCAATGGGTCATGCGCGCACGGACTGCTGTCAGATCGTAGGGGAAAAGGTTGGCGAAGCATTGACGTGTTGGGCTGAAGCGAGCGTCGCGGGCGCATCATTCGAGCGCATCGTCCACCATGCCGTTCTCATGTGCGCACACATTGCAGAGATAGGCAGGCAAGCTGCTATCGTTCGTAGTGCTCGATGGTGTTGGCGGCACAGGAGACGCTTTGATCGACGCTTGCTGATCCTCTCCTTCGAAAGCGCCCTCGCTCACGCTGCGCATGGGCGAGTCCACATCTTGCCTCTCAGCAAGCGCAATCGAGGGTGACCTCTTTTCTGGTTTCATCGCGTGACCACTTGACGCGCCAGGCTGGTCCTTGGCTTCTCCGACAGCGTCCAATTGATCGAGCTTCGTTGGACCGGACGGTGGAGCTGGCCACCAGAAAGGCGAAGAATGTGCAGAGCACTTTGCGCATCGTCTTTTGGGCTTCATTCCAAACAGCGAAGGTGGCGCTCCTGACGACGCGGGAGTGGCTTGACGACCCAAGTGTCCGATCGGAACAGGGGTAGTAGTAGCTCTTTTTGCGACGACGTTTTCCGCGCTTCCGGCTGGAATCTTGTGATTCTTGGCAGGAGCGCGGGTCAGTGCCGGGAGAAGCTCTGGATCGGGTCGGTAAGCCTGAACAGCATGCTCTTCATCTATGCGCGCCATCTCGCTCGCAAGTGGCGGGCCATGGACGACACTGGTGGTGTTGGTCTTGCTGAGCATCAAGTCGTACCTTCTGGCTCGGCGTAGCAGAGCATACGCTTGATCCGCTGCAGCAACCACTTCTCGAGGTATGCCAGGCGAAGCAGTGTGCTTGTGCGTCTCTGCATAGATTTGTAGCAGTGTCTGAGAAAAAGAACGAAGTACGAATCGTGATCAGGCGGCATCCTCGCACCTTGCTTGTTGCAGCGACGCGCGAGCTCACCTTGCCAGTCTCGGGGTCGATGTCGGTAAGTTGATGCGTTGTAGGCTTCTTGCTCTCACCGATGTGCTTGTGCTCCTTGCACCAAAGCATGGCATTGATGTGACCACTTTCCCCCTTGAAGCTCGCAGTCGGCACAATGTCCTTGCGAGAGACTTTGACAGCAGTGAAATCAAAGAGCATGCAGACTGACGGCTGAGCAGTCCATGCGCAGGAGACATGCATCGTCTTTCGGCAGCTAGGTTCGGCACAGCTGACGCACGCTCCAAAGCGCGTCTTGCAGAGGTCGCATTCCTAATGTGAATGAAATAAGGCGCGTTGCTTAGCCTTGGGCGAGCCTGAAATGGACGTTAGTAAAGGGTGCAACTCACGCTGTTGTATCGCCACCATTGTAGATTGCCCACGCCTTCGACGAGACGTAAACGTGCCGGGTCGGTGAAGACGATTTCGGGTATGAAGGCAGCGCAAATTAGGTGAACCCAGTTGTTCCCTTCCGTCGGCTTGACAGCATCGAGAACGGTGGGCGTACCGGTCGCGCTCTCGTCTGTGCCATTCGCGTCCACTCCACCTTTGCGCGCTCTCGAGAGCGCCTTGTCACCTTGATCTGCCGCATCAGTCGTCCCAATCGACTTGGCGCGAGGTAGCGACGGACAAAGTACACAGCCAGGTGTGAGCGCAGCGTCGAGGGCCTTCTCGTTAGAGCAAGCTTCGCATTGCCACCATTCGGCAGCCACTTCCTCATCGGTGAGACCAAAGCAGCCTTTGTGGACGCTCAGAGTACACTGCCTGCATTGCTGCAGCGTCTTTTTGGGCTCCATTTTGTCGCACATGACGCATTTGATGGGATCCGGTTTCGGAGGAGGTGGCGGCGGAGCTACTGGAGCAGCGCGCGTGGGCGGAGTCGTCCTCGCAGCGGCGGCACGAGCAGAAGCAGTCTTGCTCATCTTTGCAGACTTGGCAGGCGGCTGCACGCCAAGCTCTTCGTCACCCGCTGCGTTCAGCGCTGCTGCCTTTTGCCGGGTGTTGATGGCGACGAGCTCCTGGGTAGAAGTGCTCTCGGCAGCGTACTTGCGCCAATAGAGACCGCAGTGGGTGCACAAGTACCGATTCGGCCAGCTGTACGGGCCCTTGTACCATACTTGCGATTGATGAGTGGAGCACATGTAGCACGTCGGATTGGAAATGGACGCGTCCCCAAACACTGAAAGGGACGGCGATACAGCGCGAGTGGAAGGTGGCGTGGGCGCAGGCGCCAAGGACTGAGCACCGCTCTTCCTCACCACCTTGCCAGTCTTGCTTGCCAACTCTGCTTCTTCTTGCGCCTCCTTGTCCAGCACTTCTCGCAGTCGCTTGCACTTCCAGCTGTAGAACTGCCGCACAATCTCTCCGTACGTCTTGGTAGGTACAGCCTTCTTGAGTTGTCGCATGTCAGCGTTGTAGTCCTTCATGACCTGGTCAAATTGGCGAGTCTCCTTCTGCGACCAATGCACTTGTCGGAAATCTTCAGGCGTACTGGCAGACAGGGCTTGCAGACCCAGAGCAGGGTTGCCCGCCCGAGACGCAAGCACTTGCAGCGCTCTGTCCATGAAGTCGACGTCGTGGGCCGGAATGTGCGCAAAGAGCTGCCTCGCACCTATGAAGAAGGCATCCACTAGAGAAGACGAACAAGGCGTCAGCAACAGGCTTCACGATTGCGTGCGAAATGGACGCGCACCTATTTTGCCAGGCTTGAGCTGAGGCTGCCATATCACCTCCACACTCTCGTCTGTGCCTCTCTCAAAGTCCCTTGCGGGAGGGTCTGCAGGGAGCTTGACCGTGCTCAGCGTCGGAGTGAGTTGTGCCTGTGGTGTATCTGAGCGTTCCGCTTCAGGCCTCTTGCGTTTCGGCGGTCTACCGCCCTTCTTCTTGGGAGGAGGGCCACCTTCCTCAATCGGTAGACCGTTGCCTGCCCCGCCTCCCTCGGCGTCGTCTGATGTGCGTCCTTGAACACCGAGTCCGAGCTCCAGTTGCTCTTTCCAGCTAGGAGGCGCAGCCTGATACTTGGGTCCCAGTCGTGTCGCTGCTCGAGGATAGATCGAGTCGTGAGGATCCAGCACATCCTTTGCTTCCGTGTGCTGACCAAAATATCGATAAGGCCATCGGTTGAAGCATCGCGTTCCGCGGATGTCGTCAATGGTGCGCGCAACAGGCGCGGGGCTCGAGTCCGGAGATGGGTCCGTCGGAGTACCTGGGTGGCCGGGCACACCGTCGAGAACAATGTGATTTTTATTAGCGCGGGCCGAATCATAATCCCACCACCGAGGGACTGCTCGCTCACCAATACCGCTAGCTCGGCCTCGACCGGGTCCACGAGCTTTGACTCCGTTGCCCGACGGAACTCCGCGTATGGCGCCTTGCGTGCCTGGGAGACGAGACAGGCTGGACGTTCCTGCTGCTAGGGCGGAAGCGGAGAGACCGCCGCTAATAGTAGACTCCACATCCTGCTCGTGCCTCTTTGAGCACGGTGCACATGTCCAGCTGTAGCCTTTTGCAGGTTTGCTTGCTAGTGGTGGTGTCAAACAGCGCATGTGAAAGAACTTCTTGCAAGTGTCACAGCGAACGCTCTCGGGGCTGTTCGAAAAAGAGAGGGTCACTCGTCAGGCATGGACAGCGAAGCTATAGCGTTCGGACATGCACGCACCTAGAAGCCCACCGGTGGCAGACGGCACATCCTCGAAGGGCGTCGCAAAGGTCTGGTGTCATTCCGACCTCGGCAACAATGAAGGAGTACCGTGACCGTAGCAGGTTGAGCACAGCTGGAGGAGCATTTTTTATCTTCTCGGTGGGTATGACGTCGTAGAAGCGGTGGATGTAGCCGTCGTAGATTTGGTGAAAGTAGAAGTGATCGTCCTTCTTCTTCCAAGCGCTGACTTCAGGTGCGTCGCCGAGCAGATCGCGATGCCGAACCTCGCAAAGGCCACGCACGTTCTCCAGCGCATAAACGTCCGACTTCATGGTGCCAACCAGAAGCCTGGGATCATTGCTGACACGGTGCGAAATGTCGCGTGTCCTGAGAAAGACGTTTGCTCGGAGTTGCAGAGTGCCGGAAGACGATAGCAGCGCTGCTGCACCACTGCGGGAGGAGGATGCCAGCACGAACTCCATGACACGCGCCTGGTGGAACAGACCATCGTGAAAGCATGGTCGGGAGAGGAGCAGATCAGTAGCAAGATTGATGGTGGGACGGGAATCCAACGGTGAAGACAGCGTGCGGGTTGCCAGACGATGTCGATATCAGCCAAGACCCAGACGGTGTTGGTCAGCGGTTGCGGACCCGGTCGGCGCGTCGAGGTTTGATGCGCAGTAATTAGCGCCGGGGCGCGTGTAAGATCCACGCGCGCGAAATTTAGTGGCGCAGGCGATCGGATTCGTCGGCGAGGCAGTGGGGCGCAGGTGTGAAGGCGCGGGGGGAGATGCGGCAGTCGGACCGGTGACAAAGTCCGGAGCAGCAGGCGCAGGCGCAGGCGCAGTGCACCCAGCCACGCGGGTCGCCGCGCATCACGGGTGATGGAACCATGGAAGCAGCAGCGACGCGGCGTGGCGCAGCAAAGGAGGCAGGCCGGAAGGGATGAGAGGAGACGAGGCGAAGTGCAGGGCCCAGACGCACGAAGCGCAAGGATGAGAAATCCGTTCAGCAGCGGTATACGTGCATTTGATGAGACCGTTGGTTTGTTTGGCGTCGACGAGGCGAAATGGGAGATGAGGTGGGAGATGAGAGTCGAGAGAGCGGTCCGAGGATAGACCAAGTCGATCGATGGTGCGTACCGAGCACAGCAGTGTCCGACATCGCAAGAAGCGTCCGTCACGTATGCGACAGCAGCCCAGTGCCGTTCCAGCGCCGATGGAACAACATGCAATCGCATGGTAGAGGGTAGGGTGCATTGCACGCCGATCCGAAATCATTGGAGAAGGGACGTCGCCGACGATGACGAGCAGAATTGTTGCCACAGATGCGTGTCGCGGGGGCAGTGGTGGGATGTGTTTTCGCGATCAAGATGTTGCCAGGGCCCAGTGGGTATGTGCGAGGAGGAGAAGGGGTGTGGTCGTAGGCCGAGGCCAGGATATGATGATCGAGCCCGTGCATCGTGAATGTCGTGTTGGAGTGATGACGAAGCAGAGCGCATCGACCGATCGAACAGATGATGACAGTGCGAAGCGAATGGCGCGCGGAAGAAGGGTGGTGTTGCAGATCCATCCGCGGAAAAATGACGATGTGAGGAAGCGAGACGGATCGTTCAGTGGAGCAGATGGGCAAGAGTAGAGTTGTTGGGTGAAGGAAGGTGATGAAGCCATACTTGAGCTCACTGACAGGTGGAGATGCTACTGGCGAGTGTGGTCACTCACGATAATGAAAGGCTCGCCCGCTCCAGGAGCCCACGGAACCGAGAGGTAGACATAGTCTGAGGAGATGGAAGACGGCAAGATGACGTGAGAGCTCTGATCCAGAAGCAAGGCTTAGTGGAGAATAGTGTTGGATGTCTTGCACTGCAAGAAAATGATGCCTGGTAGCGACCGCAAAGGCAGTACAGCATTGGCGTAGACTGGCAAGACAGCTCTTGGTCGCGCCTCTCTCACGATAGGGCCCAGATTCAAGCCATCCACAGTGAAGCGTTCGCGAAAGGCCAGCGAGACTATGCCGTGGCGCGGCGTCCACAACAGCACAAGACTTTCAAGCCTGCACTCACCGTTGATGCCTATTGTCAGGCCATTGCGGACGGTGACGCGAGTGACTGGAGCTTGCTGTTTGAAAGAACCATTGCTGGTCCTTGAGGTGGCGGCATCTTCACCTGTCGTACTTGAGGATGATGTAGATGCGACCGGCACGCGCGAAGAGGAAGAGCTCGCGAGTGGAGCGGCTGTCATCGTAGACAGCATCGGTGGCACGAGAAGAAGGCCCCGCTGCACCACTGCGGCGGTGAAGCAGTGGGGGACACTGCACTTGCAGATGAAGGAGAAAGGGGAGTGAATAGAGCAAATCCTCGGCAAGCAGTGATTGAACAACACGTGCAAAGATGGTGGTGCAATACGGAAATGGGAGACGCGCGCTTCAACGCGACGGCCCCATTCGATGGTGGAGCGGGCGTGTCGTGTAAGGATGCGTAGAGCGACGAGGGGAGCGAAAGGGGGTGATGGTGCGCGGGGGGGCAAGGATGTCACGCAGAAGCTGTTGCGCACTCGTGACTACAAAATGTCCGCAAAGTCGTCTCTACATGCGGGTGTGCTGGAGGCAAGTGGAAGGGAAAGGTATGGCTCTGTAGACCGCGAGATTGTAGGAACCAGTGAGCAGTGCTTGCAGGCTGGCTCCACACTCGCAACTCTTGAGCAGGTGTGGCGATGTGTGTGCGGGTGGGCGGTGAAAAGTGCAGAAAGCACGCCGGTTCTGTGCGTTGTTGCTTGTTGGTAGTCAAGAGTAGTACAGTCACAACAGTCACGAGTGTGAGTGGTGGAAGGGGGGGGCGCACTAATTTGAGAGCTGCAGGCAGGTTTTTAAATTCCGCCTGTCTATCCGAGTGAGGCAAGGATTCGTCGGTGGGGTCCAAGGTCAAGCGCGATCGATCTCCTTCGCTGCCGCCTGACAAGTCGAGTCTGCACCTAGCTCAAGCTGATGATTGCTCAGCTTTTTGGATGTTTCAGGTCAAAGCTATTGCAGCGACGGGTGTATAGCGGCAGCGCCAGGCCGAAGCAGATAGGAGCTGCGTGTGCGTGTGCGAGGGGGTGAGCGACGTCACGCTTCTGACCGAGTAGACGGAGTGGATGCCAAAGCCACGAACGACCAGGGCGGGTGGCGAGTGACAGGTGAGTAGGGGAATGACTTTGCAGATGAGTGGAGCAGCACGATGGTCTGGGTACAGAGTCGCTCAGCTCGTCGGTGTAGAGAGGTGAGATCAAGGGTGGGGTGTGCAGGCCAAGCCAATCCAGTCTGACGCCCTCTTCTCTCTTGCTCGCTGGCTATGCGCCCGGCGCTGCACCGGCAGAAAAAGAGTTGCGCGCTGCAATCAAGATGAGCAAGATGAGCAACGGCAGAAGCTGTACACGGGGTCCAGGCTAACAAATCGGGACCCATCCGCTCGGCCTTTGACAGCGGCGTCGATGAGGAAGTCGATATGGAAAGAACATATGAGCTGCATCTCCATCCTGACTCGTTTTCGCCGATTGTTGGCTCTCCACAGTCTCAGACAGCTGCTTCACAGCGATCACGGGCACACGTTCAAAGCGGTGCGCGAGAGGCGTTCGAGTCATTGCATACTTCTATGAGATGCAAACACTCTCGTTCTCTCCGGACACTGCCATCCTAGCTCCTTACAACACCTGCGTTTCCAAAGCACTTTCAACACAAGACACACCCGTGAATGCTGATGCTCCTACTTTGCTGCACTGTCTACTAGATGAGCCTGGCTCGCGGCAGGGCGCCTTGTCGCGACTGTGATTATGGTTCTTGCGACGCCGACCAGGAGCCGAGACAATGTGAGGTCATCGCAACGACTCATCGAATCTCGAGTCCATGGCCGAAATCCGTCAGACCAACCCGCAGCGCTTCCCTTCAGCTTTTCAAACGCTTCACTCGTGACGAATCGCAAATCGGACAAGACTCTCGAGTTTGTGGTGAGTCGAGGCGCAGAAGCGAGAATCTAAAATTGCGAACCTCGGGCAGCGCATGCGACACACCAAAGAGATCGAAAGAGGCTTTTGCATCCTTTTAATTCGCAAGCACCGTGTACGTCATGGAAGGGGACTGCTCAATCGTGCAAGACGGCAAAGAATAAAAGGCTCTCCTGCCCGCAAGCTAAGGGGCTCTGCCGCGCAGGCAGGTCGAGAGGTGCTGAGACTTGGGATGAGAGAAGAGATACGAATCGAGGCGAGCTAGTATCGCATTTACAGGGATGAAGGCGAGGAACTGTGGGCGCGAGTCTATCTTGAGGGGGAGCGCTAGCGAAAGACGAGGCCTTATGCGAGCTTGGAACATCGATGGCCAGCGCAAGCATGGGGTACAAACAGGATTTCCCATCACAACAAAGGTTGCCAAACATGTGTGGAAAGCGCCTAGTGCAATTCATTTGCTGGCGCGCCCAATGTAGCTCGCAGACTGTTGTGACCGACCAGACATGCGCCACTCTTCGGTGCACCCTACATACAATCCCCCACAGTAGAGGCTTGATCGCCACAGCAACGACAAGACGGCCGATGAAGTAGATCATGAGAAGTACTTGGTGACTACATCCGGGCGCATCTCCTCGGGCAAAGCGCTGCACAATGTGCGCAAAGCATGATCAGCGAAGTCCATTCTGGTGTCGGCCATCCTTCTCATGATTTGCACTCACTCGATCTTCGGGTAGAATTTGTCGCCCTTCGCCACGAAGAATCTCGGCTGCCACGTCTCTCCCTTCTCTTCACGCTCTTTGACGCGTTGCCTCTGTGCGTCCTCGATCGCAGACTTGGACTCGGTGGCTTTGTCCAGATTCTTTTCCTTGATGCCCTCGGTTACCTTTGACCAAAGCCTTCTCGACTCGAATTCCTCCTGCTCCTCTTCTGGTCGAACGGTTTTCTGAATGATCTTCGCAGTCTTTGCATTGAACAGCTCCTCTGTCTCTCCGCTCTTCAGTAATGAGGCACGCGCTGTCAGCCCTGACCTCGCAGCTCGGTCGTGCCAAATCGTTGATCATCTCACCTTGACATTCTTGTACTCCATCGATTCATTCCATTTCCCGCTGATGTCCCCAATGTGCTTGGAGCCCCGGGTCACCTTGCCAGCAATAGCGTTATAAGTTCCAGTGAAGTACCCCTTCGTCTTGAACTCGACATCCGCAGTCAAATCGTTGGCTTCATTCCTGATCTTGCTCTGATCACCCAATTCCAGCACCATCTTCCCGAACAAGATGCCTCGGGCGTACCTGCCAACCTCGGATGCGCGTCAGCCCAAGATTTGGATGCGAAAGTGCCGCTTGCGCCTTGACTCACATGTTTGGCATGCCAATTTCATACTCTCCGTCCTCCAGCCTGTCGAACAGTACGACTCGATTTTGACCGCCCATGACATTTGCCGCTGAATTGCCAAGGAACTTGCTCTTCGGCTTCAGCTCGCCGTAGATCATCAAGTTGTTTGCGGGCGACACGTAAAAGTACGCGCTGATGGGTGGATGGTGCGAAACTAGAGCACAAGCCGCATTTGTGGGTCAGTCCTCGTCCCTCTATCGCAGAGCAAGATGCAGAGTTCTCACCTTGCTCGGCGATGTAGTATCCCTGTGTGTCGTTCGGATACGTGTAAGAGCAGCGGAAGTGTTCGCCGAGCACAGGGTTGTAACTACAGCGTGCAGGCGTTCCCTTGTCAGCTCGTTGCAGAACTGATGCCCAATCGCGGGCAGCAATACGTTGCGAGATGCAGAGGTTTGCAAGAATTTGGTCTCGCTACTCTGAGTGTCCCCGAGCTGAGAGCTCCAAGCTCGGCGTCCATCGCTCGCATCTCCTCTGGCTCATTCAACTCACGGCTTCTTTACACCCTTTGGCTTGATGTGCCAACCGGACAAATAGTACCTCGTGACTTGAATGAAGCGCTTTTCGGGGTCGTCAATGGCACCAGCTCTGGGAAAACGAAGACGGAGGGATGAGCAGGCAGGCCATTTCGCGGGCCAAGTCGGGGCGCCCAAAGCTTACCCAAAGATAAGGTCAGGGTGGCTCATGAAGTCCTAACAACAGGCAGAACAGCGGACTGCTTAGTAAGTTGAAGTCTCTCAAGCGTGGAACGCATTACCCTAGGCGCGCAAATCTACTCACGGTGATGCGCTCCAGCATGCTTCGAGGTTCCAGGACAAAGGTGGGCAAGGTGACCTTGGAAAGGTCCATACCTATCCGCAGCTGCCCGATAAGGCTCATCAAGATGTTCCCCGCCTCCTCGTCTAGCTCCTCGGTATCCTCAGCTGCAGCGCCATCGACTGTTGCGGCTTGTTCTTCCTTGGAGCCGCTGGCCACAGCCTTGGTCTTCTGGGCAGCGCCCGAGACGGCGTCTAAGAGACCCATGGCGCAAGGTTTGAAGGTGAGTTGGCTATCACGTTGTGATCACAAGCCGAGGCTGTGAGATCAGTGGGCTGCTGGATCGTCTTTGTGTTTGGTAGACAGCAGCAAGTGAGGTCGTCCTGGACGTGTCGGAGATGCACAACGGAGTTCGGCTTTCCCACAGCTAGACGGATCTGCGTCGCCTTCTGAGTCTAGCGGCAAAGATGGGTTTTCTCCAAGGTGTAAGGGGGCGAGTCGTGGATGAAGGATCGGATGGAGTCAACTTAGGAGGTTGGACGCTGTGGATGCTTGATTGAATAGTCACGAGTGTCATTGCAGGACCCGCAAGAGGAGAAATCACGAGCAGCCGAAAGGCGTGGAGACGCGGCGCCTGGCCAATGCTGGACCAGCAGCGAAGCCCGGCTGCTCTCGCAGCAATCACAATGGCGGGCTGGCTACCGCGGACTGGGCTCGACTGAGAAAGCGAGTTGCACGCGACGAGGGAGGCGGCGCGCAGACCAAACGAACGCAGCTGTGGTGCTGCTGCTGCTGCTGCGTGCGTGCGCGTGCGCAAGCCCGCCTTGACACGGCGAACAGCCGCCGTCTTCATGACGAGCATCGATCAGCACGGCCGCGCCGTGACTCTCGACGTGACTACTACATCAGCGCCATGCACAGCCCCGATCACGCACAGACGTGCTTGTCGCGTCTCCCTCAAATTGCAAGTCACGACTCGAGACTGCTGCATGCATGCATGCATGCATG